CGAGAATGCAGACCATCTTGCACTTTCTGCAAAAAATTACACGGAAACGTCTTTTGGCCTGCCGCACCAAGACCTCAAGCCAGCCTTAAACAAGTCAATTATTAAGTTATGGCAACAGGATTGGGACACACAGTTAGATAACAAACTTCACATTATTAAGCCCAACTTAGAAGTGTGGGAGAGTTCCTCCCATAAGGACCGCCGTTCGGAAGTTCTTTTATGCCGCTTGAGAATTGGTCATTCTCGATTGACTCACCTGCACTTGCTCTGCGGTGAAGATGTAAAGCTCTGTGAAAAGTGTGGGAAAATGTTAACTGTCCTTCACATCCTGTGGAATTGTAGATTTTTGGATCATCAACGTCGAAGATATTTTCCAGAACTTTTCAGAAACCACCTTCCATTTCATCCTTATTTTTTGCTTGGTGATAGACCTTTGGTACCATTTGCTCGCGTTTTAAGTTTCCTACATGCAATTGGCCTTTTGCACTTGATATAGATAAGTAAAGTTAGATGTAAATGCAAGGCTCCTTAAATTAACTTTCTTGGCGCAATATGGCCGTAGTCGCTCTTGCGCCATTAAACCCCAATCATCATCATCAGCTCAGCTAACGTTCTGCACAAATCTTTCGAGAAGCGACTGCAACCAGTTGCTTCATGTTGAACGTGCCTCCCCTACGCTCGGCAACAACTATTGTAACGCGAGGGCATTAAGAAGCTCGTGGCATGCCGGCCTTGGTAGCATGCCAGGAAAGCCAGCGTGACGCGAATAACCCGATAGTGTTCAGGGGGGCTCGTGTCGAGCCGGCCTCGGTGCCGTGCCGGAAAATCTGGCGTGACGCGAAAATCCTGATTTGTCGATAGTGTCATGACGTCACAGCCACATGACCTACCGTAGAATACTGGGCAAGCGCCCTCTCAAAATGTAAAGATAATCGCGAAAAAAGGGGGGAGGGGGGGAAGTGCTTGTCCGGTCATCAATTTTACATATCGGTGTACTGTGCATATTTTCTCAGATCTTACAAATTTGGGAATGGGCACTTAGTGTGGAATGGGCGGATGCGTGGTATTCTACGGTAGGCTCATCTGTCTGAAGGAGTGTACAGTCTCCATTCATCGCGGAGGAGCAGAAAGTTTCCGTCCGTCGCCGAGTCCGCCCAGTTGCGTTGTGATTCTGCCATCATCGTTCATCGGATGTGGTGCCGTCTCGGGGGGGCTTCGGAACCATGGGGGGTAGGTCCACACTCAAAGCTGTTCCAACCCCCCCCCCCCCCCCTTCTCTCCTCCCACCACCCGTGAGGCTGTTGCATGTTGAAGCTGCACTCCATAGGTGACGAGGCGCCACAGGCTAATCCGATGGGAAAAATGGACCATTTGCGGAAAGTGCCAACACTAGGCTATACCGGATTGGAGCCTCCACTGTGGTATGACTATCGAAGCGCTCCCTGTCTTTGCTCATTAGTGTCATAAGGGTCATATATATATATATATATATATGTGTATACAGTCAAACCCGTTTATAACGAACAGCAAGAAACGCTACAATCGGTTCAATATAGCAAGTAATTCGATATAGTAAAAATCATTTACAACAAACTTTAACCTTCCGTGCGTTGTAAGGCAAGAGCATCTCTTTCTTTCTCAGCTCTTCGCTTCCGCCTTGTACCTATGTGCTGATAAGCTTCTTTTTTTTTTTTTTTATTTCCCTTTCTGAATCGCTTCTGTTCGTGGGCAACGGTGTTGGGATGAAAAGTTTTATTTTTCTGCGCGTGCGTGGAGAGTGTATTTTTAGCTTTATCCCATTCTGAATTGCTTCTGCTCTCTCAATTTTGTTCGCAACTCGAGCTTTTAAAATTTTCTTTCTTTCCTTTTTTTTTGGGGGGGGGGGGGAGGGGGGAGGGGGGGGAGGGGGAGAGGGGAAGGGCGATTGTTTGCTCATTTTTGAAAGCCTTTGCTGGGAGAAAATGTTCGATATAGCGAATATGTTGTTCGTTATAAAAAGTGCATTTTACATGCATTTTTATTTAAATTTTTCGTGAGTTCGATATCGACAATAATTCGCTGTACGTGGGAAGTTTCTACGAACGTTTTAATATTCCTAAAAGGTTTGAAGACTCGCTTCGTGCACATATGTGGAAAGTTACCCTGGCCGATCTGTTTATTGGCCATGCCGTGCATGGTATTCCGATTTAAATTAAAGACAGCATTCTTGAACCCGCTCGCCGACGCAGGAAACCCTCAAATTTGTCAAAGATTCGATGGTTTTGTGTCGCAGACGGAAGCTACACCGATAACGACACCCTCGTTCAATAGCATGTCAATTCGTTTTCAGGCGGTATGCATGACGAAACCTTTTCCGCAACACTTAACTGATACGTTTCGGCTTTCCAATCAAAGTATCTTGATTCGCTGGGCTAGGCAGCAGCTTTCCGTCACTCTTCTCATCTCAACTTTTCTGTCACTGAGCTGTCAGCATGCTACCGTTCGGTAGATGAATTCGTTTTCAGGCGGGTGCATGACCAAACCTTTCCTGCAACGCTAACTGATGCTTTGGTTTTCGAATCTAAGGATCTTTAATTGCTGCGGCTGGGCTAAGCATTCTAAGCAGGGCAGCGGTCTGACTGTCTTTTCATCTCAACTTTTTTGTCGCAGAGCTATCGCACGCTCGTTTGATAGATCAATTTGTTTTTAGGCAAGACGCACAAAACAAAATTCCTCGATGCTCACTGATGTTTCGGCTTTCAAATCTAAGTTTCTTTATTCGCTGGGCTAAGCATTATAAATGAGGCAGATCGGTCCGAATGTCTCCTCATATCGACAACTTTTGCTGTCACTGTGCTTCCGGCACGCTACTGTTTGATAGACAAATTTCTTTTTCAGGCGAGATGCATGAACAAACCTTTTCTGGAACGCTAATTGCTGTCTTGGCTTTTAAACGAAATCCTTTTTACCTGCTGGATTAAGCACTAATCAACTAAAAAGGGGCAGCGGTCTGGCTATGCTTTTCGTCTGGACAGTCACAAGGGCAGCGCAGCCATTTTGTTTGTTTACGTGACGTCACAGAGCGCGAAGAGCGCGCTCGAGTGTCAGTCTCCGGTAGAACCCCTGTCCATTTAGTGCAAGAAGCGCCAAACTCTCGTGCTCCGGAGCTCGGACTTAACGTGCCCAATGCATCTGGTTGTTAGATGAGGAACTCTAGTGTCAGTTTCTGTGTTGTTGTTTTATTTGCCCACGAGTTGGGGGTTTATCATAATCAAATGCACAGCCAAGGAAGAGTGCTCCTTGTGCATCACACCTCCTCGTAAGCGTTTGAAGTCTCGCGTTTTGAGCGTATCTGCCGTCGGTTTTCTTTGTGACACTAGCACGTGTGGGTCGAAAGGTAATGTTAAACCATCATACCTTTGTTTACCCTGCCCCCCCCCCCCCCCCCCCCTCCCCCCAAAAAAGGAATATATATATATGAATAAAAAAACATATTTAAAAGCGGCGCAATCGCAAGATGTGCTACGAGGAGTGCAAACTTGAGCGCAGGACAAATGGCTTCTGCGGTACCTGCTACATTTACCTGTTTTACCACATACAAAAAGTGCTTCATCGAATACATGCATGCCACTGTGCTTGAGACTATGTGGTAGAACAGTGGTTCTCAGCCATGGATGTGTAGGGGACCCCTTGCGGACCGCTGGCAGTGATGGGGGACCCCTTCCAGCGGGGGGGGGGGGGCGGCACATTAGTAAGTTAACACATCTGGAGCATGAAACAGGTGCCTGTTATTGCTACGTAGCAGAAAAACATAAAACAAAGGTGCCACATCACTTCATTTTGATCAATTCATCAAAACGTGCCAACTAAAAAAAAAAAAAAAAATTTGTTGAGGCTCTTGCGGACCCCAGAAGTGGCTTCGCGGGGACCCGCGGACCCCCATTTGAGAACCACTGTAGTAGAAATTGACGAGCTTTTTTTTTTTATTTTTTTATTTTTTATTTAATGCACTGCAATTTACAGCTTTTCTTGCTATTGAAATTCGGCATATTTTGTATATTTTGAAATCTTCTAGCTGTCATTTTTCGCCAAGTTATCTGCATATCATTCTCATTTTTGCTGTGTTTGCCACAAAAATTTTGGTTTTTCAGAAATAAAATTTTACATAATTAATTAGGCTCCTATTTTATACTTATACAACATAAAAGAGCATTTATTGTGCTACACTTTGATATACTGCGACAAATTTTTGAAACATATTATTTCTAGAAAAAAAAAAAAAAACCCTCAAACCCTCCAAAAATCTGCAGTTTCCCGTGGTAAGGAGAATAAAGAGGAAAAACCTCCTTCACGAGGGTGCCACCATCTTGAAATATCATCACATCCAGTATGGGCGAAAACTTTGTTTTGCCGTCGCCACTCCAATAGAATACATTTCGGATATAAGCATGACTGTCACCCATTCTCGTTTTGTCTCTCCTCTATTTCTTTAAAATTTTTAGATTGAAATGCTTTACTATTTTTTCGTTGGCCATACCGGATATGCCTACCAAGTGGCTGAGGGCGAGAGTAAGCGAAAAGGTCTATAGAAATGCATCTCTACTCCCAAAAAAACTATCCTATATATAGTCTTTGAAGGTGTTTATCAGCATGCAACTCTGTGTTTCTGTCCCAGAAATAAGCAGTAATTTGCCCTTCCTGGCAGAGAGTTAGTCTAGTGAGTAACATATTTCTGCTTGGTACACCATGCTCTCTTGCATAATATTGGGTTACTCTCGGTTGTGTCTGGATGACTTTCTTTGCCTTGTGAAGGGAGTCAGGATTTCCATATTGAAGTGTCAAGTAGGCTTGGCACATTACTTCCATCTGCTATGGTTTCTCTGATGTTGACATTTCACTGCCAAGCCAATAAATATACAAGCAAAACTGCAAAAATTGGCATGCGCATTGTGTAATTGTTACATACTGTTCAGTAGTGAGTGCACATGTGGAATCTCATGATGAAATTGTGTTGCACCCAGGTCCAAGGATCTTGAGGCTGCAAGTGTCGGAGCCCTGCATGTGATTGGCGTCCAGGCTGTGCTGACAGAGTACCTCATCTGCTACGTAGATCTCATTTTCAATGACAAGATGCCTGCCTATCCCAGCAGCCCAGAGTCCCTTGAGAGTGAGTTGAATCCCCTTTATATTCATTCCACTTCTCTTCCTCTGTCATTTAGTCTCCTAGGCACCTCAAGTTAAAGGGCAACTTCACTCGATTCCAAAGATTTCGAGATAATAAGTGATTTCGCTTTAAAAAGCCCTAGTAAAAGACACTACAGTGTCTTTTACTAGGGCTTTACTAGGGCATAACGATACCACATATAACGATGTACCGCTTATAACGATCAGTTTCTGGAGTTTCTAGACTGGAGATAATCAGTTTCTAGTCCAGATACAATGATAATCGGTTATAACGATTGAAATTTTGGGTTTTCTCATTATCATTATAAGTGGATCGCACTGTACATCATTTGCTTTATGAAAGGGGATAGATATTTTTAATCTAATTTTAAACACGAGCGGAAATCGAAACCAAAACTTCGACTCTGTCCGGCAACGTTGGCCTCGGGCTGTCAAGAACTTGGCTATCACGTGGTATAAGATGGCATGTGACCCTCTACGCGACGACAGGCGGGATTGGGGTGGGCATGTGCCAGGCGCAAGTGTCGTCTGTACCACACTCTTCACCACGTTTTGAAGTCCACGACATTTGATGATGTCTGTGCAGCTGCGGCATAAGTCTGCACACGTAGTGTCTTTAGAATGGATGAAACTCCGAGAGACAATAATCATAAACGGTGCGACGACGACAATGGTTTTGACGCGGGAGCCGGCGGTAACGGCGAGACCATGGCGGGGCGGCCAGATGGCTCCCAAGAAGCGCGTTGCACAGGCACGTTACGCCAATTATGTAAACACCGCTGAGCACCGAGAGGAAACGTTCCTGACGTCACCCGTTACGCTTGCCCGGAAAAGTAAAAACATGCAAAAGAGGGCAATGATGATAACTTTTAGCTCAATGTTGACTGTGCTCACGCCGTAGCCTTGACTGCGCTGTTGGTTGCACCTCAATTCGCCCGCTCGAGTCAGCTGATTTCGGCAACTTGGCGACTTGCAGTTTGCCGGACCGTTTAAGAAACATTTAGACAGAACTACGCCGTAATAAATGACATGTGGTCTTCCTAGGTGATACTGAAGACAACTGCATTGTTTTTTCAAAAACAAAAATGAAGCGGAGTTGCTCTTTAACTATTCTCTATCCCCATTAGCCAACAATCATACGCATCTTTTTGCAGCGATGGCAAATGACATCCGTTGTAGTTGTTGTAGTTGTTGGTGTTGTAGTTGCCATTGTAGCGCACCTGTCGCCGATGATGTAACATCCTTGGTGTCTGTCGCCAGTGCTGTCACATCCTTGAAAAAGATTGCCCGCCTCCCGCGGGAATCGAACCTGGGCCTGCTGCGTGCGAAGCAGAGGTGTTACCGCTGAGTTAAGCCACAGAGTTAACAACCCATTCTATACTTGTGCGATTTGTAGTAGTACCCAGTGCCCACTGCAAGCGCTCTCAGGGAAGAAGAAATAAAATAGCTGGTAAGAATTTGCCGTTGTAGCACTGTCATTGCCAAGAGCTTGTGCCGACAGACTTGTTTCCACATGCTTCAGATTTAAAAAAAAAAAAAAAAACGTTTGGAACAAAATGTTCTTTGGCTATCGTTTTGGGGAGGCAGGCATTCCTTTAGCTCGGAAGGTTTGCGAACCCCTGCTGTTCGTGACTCTAAAGCCTCTTGTGGCGTTCCTCATGCTCTCTTCATGGCAGGCACCCCTCGTAGGAGCAGCCGACCCAAGTCCCTGGCCATTTCGACGCCGACCAAGCTGCTCTCACTGGAGGAGGCCCGTTCACGGGTGCTGGCCTCCAACCTTCCGGGCAACCAGCAACAGAAGTACATAGACGTGGGCGGGGGACCCGACAGCCTGCCCGCCAAATACCACACGGTCATCGAACTGCCCCACGGGTGAGTCGGAGGCTGCATGCATGGTGGCCTGCACTACAAACCCGTCCACACATATTAAGTCGTCGGGTAATTTCAAGGGCAACTCTAATTGTTTCTGCACTTCATTGTTTTCGTTGAAATACCTTATTTTCCGGTCTGTGGCTTTATGAGTCTCACTTCTTTGTATGATTGGCGTGGCACTGCAGTTGCAGACCGGTGCCGCCATATTTTGGACCACCTGGAAAAGCAGGCATTAGGGGGGAGAGGGGAAAAGGGAAGGGGGAGAGGTGTACACAGAAATTCGGGAAGAAAACTGCGACTTATACATGGGAAAATATAATAATTGATCAGGTGCTCTACATATTGCGCAGTTATTTCTATATCTAAAAAATGAAATGCATATAAGTGGCACCGTTGCATGATGAACTGACGGAAATTTAGGAAGAAAACTGCGACTTATACAGGTAAACTCTCAAATGAGCGAGCTTGAAGGGACCCAAGGAAATAGTTCATTAACTGAAAGTTCACTAAACTGAATAGATTCACTAGAATATGGAACAGCAAAGAGCACAGCATACATTGAGTCGAAATGTGCACTGCAATTTATGGAGTCATGTACATCGACATACCCATAAAAAGTGCATCTGCCTTTCTCATTTTGAAGAAAAAATCTAATTTTTATTTGCACCGGCGCTCTTAAAGCGCATGAAGTAACAAAGCTGTCCAGAGAGTCTTAAGTTATTTTGCACTTCCTCTGGCACAGCTTGTTGCTGTGACAAAGCCATGCCGCAACAGCATCATTCACTGGCTTGAAATATCTTGTGCAGAGTTGTTTCCTGTTCGGATTGAACACAGTTTCTTCAAGCTTCGACTTTTGCTTCACTATTGTTGACAACGTCGACAATGGAATCCCATAGTCCTTCGCAAGATCCACTAGCCTTTGACTGTTGTCCAGATGCTGAAGTGTTTTGAGCTTGTCTGAAAGAGACAACTGTTCCGTTTCATCGTACTCATTACGAAAGTGGGTCCACAAACTGCCATTTTGCCATTGTTACCCAAAACTAAGATGGCCGAATAGAACCGATTACAAAGGAAAAAGCAGACACAGCACAAGGTTCGGTTTCGTCTACCAAACCGCCGGTTTGCCTCGGCGACAGTGTAAACGCCAGCGATAATATGCCGCTGCTGCAGAGGCGGCAGCGGTGGGTGGCAGGCATAGACTACGCCAGCACTGCAAAGCACAAAACTTAGTTGAACTGATTGCAAAAATAATCTTGAGTCCTCCGATCAAGTTTGTTGAACTGAAATAGGTATTCGTTATTCTGAAATTCGCTCATTCCTTTTAAACATTTTTGCATAGAATGCAGAGGAAAACTGCCGGAGAATTTTTCAAAGTTTGTTATTCTGAAATCTTTGTTAAACCAACGTTCGCTCAAGTGAGAGTTTACTGTACGTGGGAAAATATAATCATTGATGAGATGCTATGATTGGTTTTTGATATAATAAAATAACTACTCAGTGTTACTTTTAGGGGACATGGGCCTGACTGGTCTCTTCTCCAGGGATTGAGCTCAAACAGACAGGCACTTTTTTAACTACTCATTTTGTTGTTCAGGAATGAGAGGAAATAAAGACGTCTTGCTTGGGCAATGGGAATTCTGTAAACGAAATGGTTTCAGCTGAACCTTGTCGCCTCTTAACCCCTTGAGTACTCATTTTTTTCTTCAAGTAACAAACGGCAAACTTTTATTTTAAAAAGGCAATATGCATTAAAATAAGACAAAAAACATTCCCTTGACACTCTAGGTGTCATATCTTGCTCTGAATCAGGACTTCTGGTCTAAGTCCCACTGACGTGCAGACGCCGAAGTTGATGGAATGCTTGCAGGATTCACATTGTTTTCATCACTCTTGTCACTGCCCATCAAACTATCGTCCAATTCCTAAGAATCGAGAAGGCCGAAGGATTCGTTGTGTTTTCATCACTCTTGTCACTGCCTATCAAACTATCGTGCGATTCCTAAAATCGAGAGGGCCGAAGGATTCGTTGTCACATACGCCTGAGCATTGATCCCTTTCAAAAAAAAAGTTTTGTAAGTCTTTGTTGGCTAAAGCGGACCTCCGCACCAAACACATGTTCTTTTAGTGTGAATGCTCACAAGCAACTGCTTTTTTTTTTCTTGGCTAAATGGAGCGTTCTCTTTCTGTCAAACAGCAAAACAAACAAGCAAACTACCCAAGCTAAATAGAGCAACAGGAATGATTTGGCCATCTGCCTGAGAGTGCTGGTTCAGATATTTGCACATGAGCGTAACTGAATGCGTTACGACCACTTGGGAGCACAGATCGGCATTTGTTGGCATTTTAGATCCCAGTCACTCAATATCATATCAAATTCACCAAGTTGTTCCATAATTCACTCCCACTCGTACCACAAATTTTTCCAAGATCCAAAAGTCGCCGCTAGTCATATCATTAAGTCTATTCAAATTCAAAGGTCACCGCCACTTAAATCACGGAGGTTATCATGATAGAAAAACTCATGACCCCTCACATCACCTGCAACTTCCATCATGAACAATATAGATAGTATCACCGAAATCACTGACAAATATCACAAAATATCCCCGACTCACGAATGTCACGAAATATTACTGATATCACCAACTGTCGAGTGCAGACATGTATTTATTTTCTACCAAATGTCACGCAAACATGAAAAAGAAAAACGATTGCCGTGTGGCGTTTGTCAAAGCGTTTGCCGTCTGGCTCCGGCGGATTCGATGTGCTCGCATTTCGCGGCAGCTTACCACATTCAGTTATGTATAACGTTGAAGGGAGCAGATGATCTCTAAATTAAACCGTTTATGCTTTTGAAATTGTAGCGCATTCCGAATGAATGTTTCGGGCTTCGACTTCATTTTTCGTCGCACACCGCTTCTATACTTCGCATTTGTTGTTTCAAACGGGAACTGCTGCCGGCTCGATACGACCAGCACATGATCCTACATAACTCATACACGAGGTCGTCCTGAATTCTAATTAAAACTACCTTTGGTTTGTCTATGAGTTTCAAGCTTTGGCTGGCACCCCCGTGAAAGTGCCTCCGGCTCGTTAGGCCTGCGGCGCCTCTCGGGGCAGTGCATAGAGCTGCCCACATGAACTTGCCCAATCAAGTGCCCGGATTTCACACCAATGCAAAAACGCGGGACCATAGAACTGAACAGCGAGAACAGCACACAATACACGGCAGATTCAAATAGCAGAAATGCACACGCTCAGACTAGCCCGACATCCCACCACCCCGACATCTGCACGCCAGGGCTAGCGCAGCAGCACTAGTGTGCACGTGTGCTGACTGGTTTGGTTGGTTCTACCACTGGGAGGCAGGCATGTCATGTTTTTTTTCCCTTGTTTTTTACATATTTGAAAAATATTTCTCTTTGTTTTTCACCTTTCTCGTTCAACTTACGTAAATGCTTTTTTGAACGAATAACGATGGTTTACAGAGTAATATACGTTATTGAACCTGTGTACACAAGAAAATTTCGACGGCTGTTGCTGACAATGCTGATCACAAATTGGTTATAAAAAATGGCACCGATCGTGCATTTTCATTGCGTTGTGTAACCACTGGATGTCGGGCTGTTTTTGCCTGATTGAAATAAAATATAATGCATTAATATTTTTTGGCTACTACTTGTTTCCTGAGTTGACCGAACCACTAGCGAGGTAAATAATATAAGTAGGGCAGAAGCTCAAATGTTATTAGAGGACACCTTTAAAGGGATGCTGAACCAAAAATTGAATTTCAGAAAACAACGCAGAATCGATAGGCAGGGACACCGCAAATTCCAACACGTCATTCATAAAGCGGTATCTCCAACGGATCATCATATTTTTCTTAAAAGAAGAGCACGCAATTCTCATTTCCTCCTCTTTTCGCTTTGACTCCGCAAGGGCACGGAAAAAAAATTTAGGGAGCGAGGCCATTTTTTTCTTTCTCAACTCGGGGTGTCTAGCGACCGGGAAAACCGGGAATTGTCAGGGAAATTTTAATTGCCAGGAAAAGTCAGGGAATTTTCAGGGATATTGTCAAAAAGCGAGCCCAGTCAGGGAAAATGAGCCGGAAACGGCATTGAGTGCCCTGAGCAAAGACTTGAAGACTTGGGGGCAGAAATGTAGGCAATAAATTTTGCTTAGAGCGACGCACGGCCTCTGCTCACCCGACGTAGAGTGTGCTACCCGATGCAAAGAGAACAACCAACAAATCCAGGCGAAGCCTTGGATTGGATTGGATTGAGAGCGCGACACTAGGTTAGATCCATGTAGAGCTACTAGATTTAGTAACATATCAGAAAGCTGCAGACCCCAATCCAATTGAATCCTTAATTAATTAAGCTGAAAGACGAAAAGCATCTGGCGGCCATATTGGTTATTGACGTGTGTGGTTGAGCGTTGTGTTTTCATCGTATTTCCGGAAGTGGCCTCTTCATTGACGATGTCGGCGGCAAGAAAGTGCTCGTTTAATTTCGGACTGGACGAACCCGAATATTTCGGAATATGCAAGTTATGTTAGGCTCGTGGGACATGATCCTCGCTGTGCTCAGTGCTCAATGCCTTGTGTTGTAATGGTCTTATATATTTAACCGCTTCTAGAGTGGTCAAGGAATTTCACCTGAAATTCCTTGACCTGGAAAAGTCAGGGAATTTCAAAAGAATAATTTGCTAGACACCGAGCAACTCTTCTGCTATAAGATGGTGTCAACATTCTCCCTCATTCGCTCCTTTATTTTCCAGAAATACGGCCATCCGCTCGAGAAATGGCTAGTATATGAGTGATGTTTCGTGGTATATGGCACCCTGTTGAACACCTCTGCAGGCTTATCTCGTGAATTCCAAATTTCGGTTCAGCATCCCCTTATTGCCCAGCCGGATCCAGATTCAATCCATTCTTTTGTGTTATTTATAGCACTGGATCAGAAGTTGCCGTCGTAGCTCGAACATTAGGCTTATTGTGGTGTGGTTCGCGAAGAAAGAAGTGCAAAATGTCTTTGTTTTATTTATTTATTATATTTACATTACATTACAATAATTATTACATTTTAACACATTGGAAATTGTGTTTTTTTGTAAGTAATGCTCTCAACATAGTCCTTGAAGATATAGTGGCTGGGCCTTGAAAGTCCTTGAAATCCCTAGAATTTTCGGATTTTTGGAGCTCCCAATCTTTTTTATATGGTGTCACATAAAAAAGATTGGGAGCTACTAGATGCATAGGGATATGCCCCTTAGTGCCTGAAAATTGCATTAAGAAATTCGGCATTTCATGCTCTTTTCTCAGTGAGGGGGCATCATCACCACGAGTCAATGACTTATTGTGCAAACCTTGCTATCTGAACATTGGATTGTTTTGCATTCGTAGAGATGAGAAATTCATTTGGTGTCAGCCGCAGTTTTGTGGTGCTGCATGGAATGGTAGAGCCCCCGAACCCCAAAAAGTGCACAAAGTCTCACAGAATCTGCACGGTGCAGGAAACGTGGCAGCGCCAAGCTGAAGAAGTCTCCGCTGGGATGGAGGTCTTTCTTTGTGCGGGGCTGGCACTCTGGCAGTGCCCGGGAGAAGGACAAGCGTGCCCAGGGTCTGCGCAAGGCCAGCACGGGATCTCTGCCTCACCACCAGAGCCTTCCCATTCAGGTAAGGTGCCTTCGGCACAAACCTGCTTTGTGCAGAGCATGAGCGGCGACAGACTGTAGTCATTTGTTAGAATGCCAAGCCTGTGCTTGTTGCCTGTTCTCCATTATGCAAAACAATTGGCAAACTTTCCACATTGCTAATTAGAGAGTAGGCACTTGTTGGCAAATACGTTTGCAACCGTTGGCCTTCGGCAACATCGCTGCTTCTAGATTGTCAACAGGGTGTCTGTGAGAGGAGTTGGCTGACTGCTGCCATAGTAGAACAACATAGAGAACAGCGAAAGTAGGGTGACTGTAACATTCCTCCAAGTGGTGCATTTACTGCGCCCTCATTTTTGGTCCCTTGATATATGCCTCGTGACATCACGGCTGGCATATTTAGTCGCTGGCCGCTATTCTGCTGCTGTGGTCAACCTATTGGTGGAAACTTAAGCCGCCATGGATTGGGGTGCGCGACTTCGAGACCACTGTTGATGCAAGGGTGGTATAGCTAGGGTACCACACACACCATTGTCCCAGGCACTGTAACTAAAGCAAGAATTGCATTCTTTTAGCTTGGAAGTGTGTGAAAGTTGAATAGGTGTTGGTTTACTGGAGACATTTCCCAAACCTACAAGTGCACCCGTGTGAAATTTGCGGCTCTCTTTGCTTTGGACTGAGGGCACCACAGCTGCTTAGATATTTTTCATATGCGTTAGGCCCGAAATAAGTTATTTCGTTCCTTCTGCACATTCATGTTGTTTATTTGTTTCACGACTCCAGGACAAAGCACTGACCGAAGCTGACCTGGTACATAGTGCATCGAAACAGCTGCGGAGCGTTAAAAGTGCAGAGTCTTTGATTTCAAGTGGAGGGCATTCTGGCAGGAATTCGGAAATCTTGGACTCCTGCAACTCTTCCTCAGGTATGCCAAGCTACAGCATTACTCACTTTAGGGGGCCTTTTGCAAGTTGGAGCACGTTCAGGAACGCGTGCTTCCGATGTAATTAATGTAAGCTGCTCGCACCCATGCTGTGGACTAATTTGGGAGGTCGCAGCACACTCGGGAAATGTTTTGTGTGACCCGGTGAATTCACCCGACTTTCTGCTAGGAACGGTGAACGCTCGTCGATCACCGGTCGTAACGGGACTTCTGCGGGCATGTTTCTTGCAGAAGCGTCGAGGGTGCAGCCGTTCCAGTGGATGCCCGAAGCGACACCCCCGGCCTCGTCTCCCGGCGGCGCCCACAAGCACGTGCGCTCGGTCTCCCACGACTCCTACTTCGAGCGTGGTGCCCTGGACCTCTCCCTCGAAGACCTCAACGTCACCTTCCAGTTCGCAGCGTCCCACCAGCAGCAGCAACAACCTTCACCGCCGCAGAAGTCTCCCCGCAAACAGAAGCTCTGCTCGGATGTCGAGGGCGCGAACAACCCCAAGGTGCAGCGTCTGGGCGACGTTGTCGACTCTCCCGCGTTCCAGTCTAGTCACCGTTCAGCGGCCGACACATTCAGCTCGGCGGGGAAGATGGAATCCCTGAGCTACGCAACCTCCCAACCCCAGCTGCCGACGTTTGCTGCGGATGAAGAGCAGCAGGCCCCGACGGAGAAGCGCCGCCACCAGTCCTCGAGCCGGTCTTTGACGCCCTACTCAAGCCGGCAGCCGCTGGCCGTTCACAGCCCAGACGACATCGAGCCCTATACATCCCCGTCGCCTCAGGAGCATCACCCAGGAACGTTCAGGACCAGCGAGCAGTTCAGGGACTCTGTGCAACAGCACGGAAATGAGAAGATGGTGTTGGTTGAAGTGCACGCCGCCGCCGAGGAAGAACGCGGCTCTTCCTCCCAAGAGCTTGTCGACGGGGCGCTGGCGTTTCACAGGCCGTTTGTGGAAGATGTTGACGACACGGTTGACGACACGCTCTGCGAGAGCACCTATGACTCGGCGACTGATGCGGAAGAACCCGACAACCACGTGGAAACGTCTCTCGCGGAAGACATTGCGTCATCCCTCAAGATGAGCTGTTGCCAGTTTGACACGGGCTTTCTGGTCGGCGAATCGCGCAGTGCCACGAGCCTAGAGACGAGCTTCCTGAACCGCGTGAGTGCATCACTGCCGTACATAGAGGACACCGACACTTCTGCGTCGCCTCTGTCGTCGCCTTGTGCCGGTTGCGAACAGCTTCCGTTGGAAGTGTCGACAAGGTCAACGCCGTCACCCATCGAGGTACAAAGTGGATGTGGGACCGTCGGAAGCGTTGACCGACTGGACTCTCCCTGTGTGCTGCTTCACGAATGTCTAGACTGTTCCGTGGAAACTCCCGTGCCCGCGATGCCAAACGACGAGCTCCGAACGTTTGTGGACGCCGAGCGATGTGGGCGCGCTGCCGAGCTCGATGTGGTGCAAAGAGTGGAAGCGTTGAATTGTGGCGTACTCTCTACCGACGCCGACCGTGCTGTCTTGGTGGTGGAGGCGACGAAGGAAAGCTCCACTTCTGAGGAAGAGGATAATGAGGAGGTGATGCCGTACTCTTATCTGGACGAGAGTCCCCTGTTGAGTGAACCGTACACTGCTATGCAGCATTCGCAGAGCCAAGACCAAAGTCTGTGTCTTCTGTCTCCCACCGATGGAAATACTGATCGGAGCAGCTTGTCACCAGACCCAGCAGTATGCGTCGAGGCTGGCGAAGAAATTCGGGAGTCCTCAAACACTCCAGAATTATGCATCATGCAAGTGGAGCCTTCTCAAAACGAACCCGTGGCTATGATTTGCGATGCGGCTCAGGAGGAAGAAAAAGTTGTTTCAGACCACACGCTTTCGGAGTCGGTGGACTGCAGTCCTTATTGTGAAACTGAGAAGGACCTGATCTGGGATGATGAGCTGCAGGAAAACAAGGAAAGCGCACTACTTAATTCTAGTCCTGGAATCGACCCTAATACTTTCGAGCTGTGCGAACCACTTGTGCAGAAGGAAGCAACTCACACTGACCTTGTATTTTTAAATGTTCAAAAGTTGGTGAATGAAAGTGAACAAATGAAAGGTGTAGAATCTGCGGCACCCGAAACCTTTTCCGATTTTACTACTTCACGGGACACTCAAGAAAGTCCTCTTTTTGGTGGGCTGCAGTGCAGTACTCAGGCGCAATCACTTACACACTGTAACGAGTTCATCAATGCAAGCACCACAGAAGACCTCGAGTCAAAGCCTCTCATCGAGTTTGGAGACGACGACGTGCTGTTGAGGTCATCTTCAAGGCCTCCTCAAATTGTAGAAGCAAAACGCAAGTCAGAGCCCCGGACGTTTGGAGCAAACTCTGACAGCGGTAAAAAGCGTCTCTCGGAACCAGTTGCCCAACCTCGCTCGGAGAAGAGGGGCTCTGTCAAGGAACTCATGTCCAAGTTTGAGCCCACGGACACCCAGGCCTCTAATGCAGATTTCAGTCCGTCAAGAACCTCCCAGCCAAGCCTTTTCACTCAGCTTAAAGTCATGAGACTTCAGTCACGCAAGACCAACCCGTCATCACCTCCCAACTCGTCCAACTACGACCCCTGGTCAGACCCCATCCTTGACGATCAGGACAATCACGTGGAGGAGAGCGTCTGCTACGACACCGCTCCTCGGGCCACCGTCGACAGTGCGAAGGCCGAAGGCTTGGTGGAGGTTCCTGAGCCTGTTGTGCAAGTGCACAAAGTGGACAGTGCAAGGACTGAGGTCATCGTTGAAATTGAAGTCTCGGACGCGCAGCGGCCTGTCACTCTGGACTTGCGGAAAGTGAGCGCGCCAACTCAAGTGGAAGAGAAGCAAGTGGATCCAGTTAAGAAGCCAGAAGAAACAGTAAAAAATGCTGCCACACTCCCTCTTGAAAGCGAGGTTAGCCGGAAACGTATAGAGAAGTTCAAGGAGGAGCGTCGCGCCCAGTTGAGGGAGAAACTCAAGTCCGAGAGCTTTCGGTCGGAGGAGGTTGTGAAGCTCGACGTGACGAAACAGAGGCGGACCTCCGACGGAGAGGCCCCCGAGCTAGCCGCGCGGAACGTGGCCACCGTTCCGTTGCGGCGCACGAGCAAGAACCTGGAGAACCAGCAGGCCACTGACGGCAGGAGCTGGCAGAAACCGCCGGGCGACCGCAAGAGAGACCTTCTCAAGCAGAGTGCAGAATCCGCTGCAACCGAAAAACAGCCGGCGGTTCCGAGGCCACAGCAGCCGGTGGAGCCCATGGCCAAGAGGCAGGACTTGTCACCTCCCAAGCGGATTCGCGACAGGGCGGCCATGTTTGAATGCCGAAGCAAGAAAGAGCCGCCCCACCCGCAGCCACGGCTTGCTCGCGCCGACCTGTCCTCTTGCTGAGCAGTGGTCGAACCATTCCATGGCACTAGATGGGAAAGAACATTTGGCCCTTGTCTTAACCTCCCCTTCCTGTTTCGAGCTGCTAAGGAGAAGTGACAACAGGGGATTGGTGCTACCTTGTAGTCTTGATCTGCATACCTTTCATACACTTAGTTTCTACTTGTCCTCCAGGCCAAACAGCTGCAACTAAAAGCCAAAGTAAGAGTAGTAACAGATAAGAGAAGCCTTATATTGCTGTATGACGGCTTCTACTCGATGCTGCTCTGTAAATGTATATGATGTGTTCGTTTATCCTCAGCAGCAAACCGAGATTTCTTTTCACACATTTTTTTTAACATTGATTGGGAGGACTGGTGCATGGTACTGGTGGGAACAGTACTTGTGGGAACAGAGGCAACCTTGGATTTTCAGATATGTGTATATTTGTTGCACCTTTCTATCCCGTACAGCTTTTTTAAATGCTTTTTTATGGTCTTGCTTTCAGTGAATGCTGTGTACATACTTGTTGCTGGTTTTTATGCTGTAATAAGATTATATATATTATAGATATATACATACAACATTTACGAAAAATATATGTATGTGGCATCGTCATGGGTTCTTGGTTTTCTTGCGTGTCATAGTTCCAGTTATATGGCGGCATGTCTTTCTGGTTCTTGCAAAGGGACATTGCAGCACCGTGCTTTGAACTCTTCAGTTCTGCATGTGTAAAAATTTAGGCGTGGAAGCGTGTGGGGGGGGGGGGTTCTGAAACATATGATACGCTGACCAATGCCTGACCCGCCCCCTCTGCAAATACCTGCGTCCGCCCCTAAAGGTAGGTAGACATAAAGGCTGGTTGCCTTTGTCTCTATCCACTCTATCCCTCCAATCAGAGTGATTAGCGGTGTCAGGGTCATGTGTTTGGGTCGCCGACATTGTCTGCTATAGTCGCTGACAAAATGAGAACTGCAGGGCATCTACTTCAAATTTTCGGACTCCAGCATGCATTCATTGCCTTTCGCCGTGCTTTGGTTGAGCATGCACACTCTACACTCACGAGATGCCAACGCGTTATCGAAGGTAAGGAGCTCGTGCCAAGGGCGGGACAACTGAAACTTGTTTTGTCGTTGATCATAGCCCTAGCGATGGCCGTCATACTGTTTCTACGGCCCTTAAAAATCCACTGGTTTCTTACAAACGAGGACTCTGCATTTCAGAAACGGGAGAGGAAATACTGTGGCAGATGTGGCGGAAAGTATGTTGTTTCTGTTGACTAACAGCCGCCCGACGCACAACAATGATGGAGGTTCACACAGCCGAGAGCAAGGTCTTCCGCTCGTGTGCCAGAGAGCACATTTTGGCACTACTTGTTCGCTGTTGACCAACCGGCTCTTCCAAGTTAATTTTGCACTCTTCTCATTGCGTCTTAGCGATACATGAGAAAGGTGTAGAAGAGTGCCCTGCACGGGGACAAATATTCTCCCGAAACCCTTCGTTATGTATGGGGTGGCAGGAGGATCAAGGGATGGAAGTTGGCTTCCTGCAAGAACACAGCATGGAACTGTTTTTTTTTTTGTTTTTTTTTTATATATATCTCTAGTTGGGTAACATTCAACCAGGAATTAACCCATGATTTTCAGTCTGGAAAGAGAGTTATAAATAAAAAAGGAAGATCCATTGGTGGATCCTTAGGGAATGCATTGGCATGACATCTGGTAAATGCCACTAATGTCCCTGTCTGGGAAATGCTAATGCTGACCCTCTTCCCTTCTTTGTTTTGGCTTTCTCTGTTGGTTCCTCTAGGGTGATTTCAGATAAGATCGACCAAAGGGTGGCTGGTCGACATTTTTAAATCAACTGATGTTTTTATATGACATTGTCTAGTGTCTGGTATAAACGAATCCACACTTAGTTTTGACCAGAAAAAAAATTTGGAGACAAGAAAAATCGTAAGGCAGGGAGAGGTGGACAGTTGCAATAACGCGCACTGATGGAGGGGGCAAGTTTGAAAGTGAATAATTAAAACAATAAAATTAGGAGAATTTTAAAACTTTTTACAAACAAACTGGGTACAACTTGCTTGTAATATAAAGTAATAATATTTATTAAAAATTTATTTAGTTTTCTAAAAATTGCCAAACATGCCTGCTCGAACGACAAATGGCAAACTTTGGAAATCTGTATCTCATGAAATAATTTAATCATTATTACATAACTTGCAGACATTATTTTACTAATATATGGCTATTATTGAAAAAATAAATAAGGTATCTGAGTGACACAATAGTTACAATATATTTAGGCAAACATGGGAAAAAAATCAAACAAAGAAAAATTCCAATGCGAATAAAAAAAAAAACACCACCTTCGATTTTTTTTCAATTTGGGTACCCTGTTATACTCTATTTCGGCATTCATTTCTATTAAAAACATGTTGCATCATTGCACTGTGAAAGAAGAAACAACTCCCCAAAGTAGGGTCCTTTTTCAAAGCCTACACTTAGCAGTGTCCTATACAAGAAGTGACTCTGAGTTCCAGTTTCATGAAACTTGCACAAATCTTTTATATACATTTATTCAGATGAGGTCATTGATAAAAAGAGCGATCGGTCACACAGTAAAAGAGAGGAGAAACTATATACAGCATTTTACATAAGCGTACAAAGTGGTATCATATTAGAGACTAATGATTTGAGAAAAGACGATGCAGTGTGAAGTTGTACCTTCCGGTATATTTTACATCTAGAGTAAAATAAATAACTTTACTTCCTTGACACAAAAACGAAGATATAATAGTAAGATATTTAGATTGGCTGTGTATTTACGATTACAAACAATTTCAGGTGACGGATGCCATAGTGCCTAACTGGAGCAGCTTCGATGCTCTCGGTGTATGAATAAATCGTGGCAAGCCGATATATTTTATCCTGCTCGAGAATAACATTTTGGGATTTTTTTTATAGTGATCAGATAAAAATTATTAGTAACCACCAACAAAAACAGTAGGTTAAATACCCCGTGAAGAAAAATGTGACAAATAAGATGTCCCTGCATTCAAAATGAGCAGTCCTTGGGAAATCAAATTCGGCACTTTACGCTAAGGTTTTCCTCGCTGTACCCATTTAATAAAGTTGCTCATGCCTTACGATTTTTCCTGTCCCCAAGTATTTTTTCTAGTCAAAACTAAGTTTGGATTCGTTCATACCAGACACTAGACAATAACATATAAAAACATCAGTTGATTTGAAAATGTCGACTAGCCATCCTTTGGTCGATCTTATCTGAAATCACCCTCTATTTTTGCTGCCTCTTTTTGGCTTAGTTACAGGGTCAGTGTTAGCGCTTCCCAAGGGGGAACGTGTGTGGCGTTTCCAAAGTGTCATGCTAATGCATTCCCCAAGGATCCACCATTGCATACCTACCTACCAAGACTCCCGTATTACCCGGGAGACCCGAATTTTGAGCAATGTGTATGGTTGTATCATTCACAGAACAATCTCCCGGAAAACGCAAATCACCCCCCTCCCCACACTTAAACAAGGAGACTTTGCGGTTGCAACAAACGGTGCAATGATGACACGGTGCAATGATGGCACAAGAGAAATTTACGACACGCCCAACCACCGAGCCGATTTGCAAAAAGACGCCGCTGAGCCGTCGCTCCCTATTTGTGGCTGAAGACTTCGCTCGCGCAAACCTCAAGCACGAAGTGTGTACTTCGAGTTTAATATGCATCTGCACCTTTTCATTTCAGTAGTTGCCTGACGGGCGGGTAGAGGGCGCTGGCGCAATCGGCGCCATCAGGTTGCTTCAATTTGGTGGGTTTCGGTTTTAACGTACACGCGATTGTGATGCTGTTTCATGCCACTTTCGATTAATTTTGCGATATGAATTTCTTTCTGGTAGCACACAGCGAATGAAACAATACTATTGAGCCACTTGGCAAACCGCGAAGTGGTTTCGAGCCTAAATTGCGATCTTTTTTTACTAACACTATATGCGTCTGATTACGTCCATCATTAATTTCGGACAGGTTCGGCGGTGAAACAACTGCGCTGATGCACAGGGAAAAGTACCATTGTCCACGGCCGCACCCGCGGACACTAATTTCAAGAAGAAAAAATAGTAAAGTGCAGGACAAGCTCCGCCTGCAGCGTGCGCTCGTTGGCTGCCGCCGTGCTTTGGAGCGGTACGGAAGTAGATAGCTCGCGCTCAAGTCAGATATTGAACTGATCATCCTATATTGCAACAGACTATATTGCATAAGTGCTTAGTAAAATTCAGGTCGACAACATGATTAACAATCTGCTGAATCACCAAGAACAGATGAACTGACAAGTTTACTGTTCGATGTTTGGTTTCCGCACACCAACCTTTTCTAACTTCGAGACTGGAAACGTCTTTTATAATGACTAGAAAGGTTTAATATAATCACGTAGATAATATAAACAAGTGATATTGTCTCGGTCTGTTTTATTTAAAGAAATTAAGCGCTCGAGAAATATTTTGATAGACCAGCCTAGGCTGACTAAAAAATTTCTTAACTAAAGTACTCATTCACAGCATTTCAAAATATTGGCCTTATGAAATAAACTTTTTGTTATATGGAAATTTGCTTACGACGGTTCTCAAGGTATGAGAATGGTGAGATTCGTGAATGCCAGACTTCAAATAAAGTCTGATATTCATCTTCCGTAAAATTTGCCGAATGAAATTGAAGAGCCCAAAAGAAAGGATCTCCGATAAGTTTGGCTGAAGTCGAACGCCAGGCGCCACCCAATAGACCTTTGTAGAAAGCTGTTCACTGATTCCAAACGATGCGCTTTGCACATTTTGACGTCTCCATCTACTGAAAGTAACTCCCTATTCGAAGTCGACAACCGGCTGCACTCGGGTGATTTTCATGCAGAAGGATTCTTTTCGGCGTCACATTTTATGAATCATAGGCACTATCAAGCTGTCTGTGGCAGTTTCTTACGCGGGGAGTTCAAATATTTGTGCTGAAATAAATTAATTGAAACTGCATGGTTATATTAAAAAATGACTTAAGCAACTGAAAGACTATGAACATAGGACCAAGCACGATATACAATTCCGTGGAATTCATAGATAAACCGATAAAGCGAATGCTTATATCACACACGCGATTAAGAACGTAAAACAGATATAGGTGTGATATTGCGAACAAACAAGTTGCCTAATGTTAAGGTACCATTATTTCTAGCATAAAAATAATTCAAACTAAATGTTTGTTCCCGCGCCTTGTCCACTAGTTTCCTATGTAATCAAAAGAAACTGTTTTCGATCTGTTGGAATTACTACAAAACACCATGTCTTCAGGAAAAACACGAGGGTAATTACGCTGAGTGTTTTTGTTTTCTTCCTTGACACCAATGCGCACTCATATATATAATAACATTGGGCTTCCTATTGCAAATGTTCCGCCCTTATTAGTAACCAAACCTCAATTCTCATAGGTTGTTGGTATTTGAACCCTCGAGGCTCTCTTCAAGTCATAAATATATTCAATGTGCGCAAGTCCTAGCGCTGATTCCTAAAACCTTTTCACACGTATCCCGCACGCCGACGGTAAAAAATATTCTAAACGTGTT